AACAAAAATTATATTGCCATATATTAAGGGCAATAAAAGACTTTTGAGGGGAAAGTAAGTTAGCACAGGGAGAAAGCACCCTTGCATGTAGGTTTGATTTTTGGCACCACATGTGGTCCCTTGTTGCCTGAGTCGGGAGTAAGTTCTGAGCCCTGCTAGGGGTGGCCCCAACCCCCACCCCACCAGTACCAAAAAGACTTAGCTCCTTTAACTTTCTTTTTTTTTCTTTTTTTAATTATTTATTTAAATTTTCATAAAGTTGTTTAAAATTTATTGCATTTAATATTCCAATACCAGTCCCATCACCATTATACCTTCTCACCACCGTTCTTTTTTTTTTCTTAAATAATGTAGGATACTGCTATTTGTTCAGTCCTTGATCAAGCTGATTGGATTGGGCATGAACTCCACATTACTTTTATTTTTTATCACCAAGAGATAGAGTTACAAAGCTTCCATGTTTGAGATTTAGCCATATAATTATGGAACACCCATCCCTCCACCAGTGCACATTTTCCACCACCAATATCTGCCCCCCCATCCCAGTTCTCACCCTGCCTCTATGGTAGACAACTTCCCCAATACTCTCTTGCTAATTTTTTTTTTGAATCAAGAGATATATTCCTTTTTGACACAGCTCAGGTCTGACTTTCTTGTTCTTTATTATTCATTCTTCTTTCCTCTTTGTCCTCCTGTTTTTCCTCCTCCTAGTTGTTGTTATTGTTCTTCTTCTTCTTCTCCTTCTCCTCCTCCTCCCCCTCCTCCTCCCCCTCCTCCCCCTCCTCCTCCCCCTCCTCCCCCCCCTCGTCCTCCTCCTCCTCGTCCTCCTCGTCCTCCTCCTCCTCCTCCTCCTCCTCCTCCTCCTCCTCCTCCTCCTCCTCCTCCTCCTCCTCCTCCTCCTCCTCCTCCTCCTCCTCCTCCTCCTTCTTCTTCTTCTTCTTCTTCTTCTTCTTCTTCTTCTTCTTCTTCTTCTTCTTCTTCTTCTTCTTCTTCTTTTATACCCATCCCTCCACCAGTGCCCATTTCCCACCACCACGGATCCCAGTATCCCTCCCACCCCCCATCCCCCCATCCCACCCTGCCTCTGTGGCAGGGCATTCCCTTTTGTTCTCTCTCTCTCTTATTCGGTGTTGTGGTTTGCAAAAGAGGCAATGGGTGACAATCATGTTTAGTCTATAGTCTACTTTCCGCATGCTTTTCCCATCCTGGGAGGATCCTCCCAACACTTTATTTTTTAACATTAGTAAGAGATAGAAAGGAATAGACTTCAGTTGGGTTGAAGAAACAATAGTCTAAGAAAAAATAAAAATAGGTTTTATTTCTCCTCTGGAGAAACTTTTTTCTCTCTCTCCCTTGTATTTATTTCTTTAAATAAAACTATTTTATTTCACTAAAAGAGGAAAGTAAACTAACTTTGGTGATGATGAACTGAACTAATTGTGTGTACAAAGATGGGGGCCAGAGTGATAGTACAGTAGGTGGGGTGTTTGCCTTGCACAAGGCTGAACAAATTCAATCCCCAGCATCCTATTGTTCCTGAGCACTGCCTGAGTGCAGAGCCAGGAGTAACTCCTGAGCATTGTCTGGGGTGACCCAAAACATAAAAAAAATCATAAAAAATCAACATCATTGTAAACACATTACCTTAACTATAATAAATTTAAAAAAGAAGTAATGTACTGATATAATAATGACTGGTGTCTCTTCTAGGAAAGGGATAGAAAGAAATTTGTGTAGAGGAATAGTACTTGTTGCAGATGTGTTGAGTGTCAACCATTGTGCTGGGTGCTCCTCTTGGTCCTCCCTCAGGATTTGAAGAGGAAAGCATATAATTCCCATCATATGGATAAGTAAACTGAGGATGAGTAAACTGAGGCTTAGAGAAGTTAGTGAACTGCTCAAGAACACAGAGCTTCACTTGCCTTGAACACAGCTGACCCTGGTTCGAGCCCCAATATCCCATATCATCCCTGAGCACTGCCAGGAATGATTCCTGAGTGCACAACCAGGAGATACTTCTGAGCATCGCTGGGTATCTGGTCCCCTAACAAAAAAAATCACACCTTTTCACGGTCTGGTATTCAAGCCCAGCCTTCTTTGACTTTAAGTTACAGATGAAAGAGAGTGACCATGGATCTATAGAGCAAATATTGGCAAGAAGCAGCAAAGCAGCAAAGCAAAGATTTCTTTTATATTATTATTATTATTTTGGGAGGCCACAAACACCCGACCTGCTGTGCTATCGCTCCAGCCCCCTTGATTTAAACTAGAGCTAGGCTTGTTGAGGATTGCCCCTCTTGGACTTTCGTAATGCTAAGGAGGGTCTGCTTTAAATGAATCCCCAGTTGGTGAACTTCAAGGAACTAAGTGCAGAGAAAGTGGAAGGCTCAAGATGAAGGCCTATCCTTCAATCATGATAAAGCTGGTCATATTGTTAATAATTTTCATTGACTCTGAGGCCTGCTGAAACCCTAGTTACACAGATCTTAGTTACACAGGAAATCTGAATCAGACTTTAGAGAAACCACTTGGTTGTAAGGCTGTCTAAGGTGTACACCCAGTTTTTCTGTAACTAATATTAGAGATAGTAATGCAGAAGGATAGGCTTGATTTGGGCTGATTCTGGTATTTTAGGCAGTGGGACAAGAGGAAATACAGACAGCAAAAACTGTATAAATTAAAAAATTCAGAAACTTTATTTATTTATTTATTTATTTATTTATTTTTGCTTTTTTGGGTCACACCTGACGATGCACAGGGGTTACTCCTGGCTCTGCACTCAGGAGTCACTCCTGGCGATGCTCAGGGGACCATATGGGATGCTGGGAATGGAACCCGGGTTGGCCATGTGCAAGGCAAATGCTCTACCTGCTGTGCTATCCCTCCAGCCCCGAATTCAGAAAATTAAAAAAAAAATATTCCCTAAGAGCTACCAGTTCTCTAGTTTAAAGAACAAGATTCAAACCCCTGGAAATGCCACTTAGCTGGCAGAGTGATCGGATTCTATCAGAAAATCTGAGACTTGGAGCAGAGTGATTGTGTGGAGGTGAGGTGCTTGTCTTGCATGTGACCCCCAGCATCCCATGTGATCCCCTGAGCCCCAGCAGGAATGATCCCTAAGCCCAGAGCCAGGGGTAAGTCCTGAGCATCTGAGCATTTTTGGGTGTGGCCCAAACATAGTAAAAAAGCTGGGATAATTTTTAGCCATTTGTTAAGATTTTAGCAAGAGTGAGGAAAAACGTTTTACAGTATAGGGCACAGATCCAGTGCATTGCTACTAGAAATATTGATTACTACAGCAGCGACTGAGAGAACACTGGGAAGAATTAGAGTGACAAATTCACATTCTTTTTAATTCAACAATTTCTCTAAGGTTTCAACTTAAGAGAAATGCCCATGTTAATGTGTTCACTGCAGCATTCTTGGGAAAAGCAAACACACTGTAGAATTTTTTGCTTCTTGACTGTAATTTTTTTGGCACAAGTTTTAGAATTCCCAGTACTATTTTCTTTATCTATTCTTTAGTTATTGTTTTCTGTTATTAGCTTGGCTTTGTTTTTAAAATTAGTAGGTTGAAAATTCAGACAGTAAATCAGCAAAGATGATGTTGTTAAGGCTATTTGTAATTTGACACGGTACCATGTTTTGCTTGTTATGGTGATAGAAACATCACAATATTTAATGAGAGAACTTTTACTTGTGACTGTAGATTATGGCCAGCAACTTTCAGAACTGACAAGATTAACGTCTGCAGAGAGTTAAGGTGCAGGTTGGAGAATGGGGAGTAAGTGAAGGGTGATGACAGAGAAGACACATAATACGCTGGTCACAACAAGGCCACCCAGGTTGCACATTTTAGTCTCAGTTGTCGCTTTCCCGCTTTTGCCCTTAACCTCCTAACTTGGATTTTAGATAGGTCAGGTTTCTAGATCAGAGGCAGGAAAGATTTCCGTTTAAATGAAGCTGATTTTATTTGAAAAGACAAGACAATGGGTGGTTGACGAAATGGGAAGGAAGATTGAAATTTAATATAAAAAAATGCCAAGAAATGGTCAGCCAAGTTCTTGCTCATAAAATTCTGGAAAAATGTTCTATTTAGAGCTTATAATTCTTGACATACAGAGGTATGAAGACATTTGGTTATGAAAAAATAATTGTGCATCTCTTTCACTTATAATTGTACAGGACGATTTTTAAAAAGTTAAAACATGAAAATATTTTGTGTTTAATAATAAACAAGTGGCTAAAAAGATGCCCAGGGGTTGTTGGCACTTCATAAACTTCCCCCTGTGGTAACTGCCTGATATAGCATTGACTCCCACCCCCTCCACACACACACACATGGGAGTGGCCCTGGAGGGTCCCAGGTACCACTGACCACTTCAGGTAACTGGTGTGTCCAGCGCTACTGACTCTCTCAGCAGGTCAGAGGACAGAAACATCTGGCATAGCTGAGGATTGCTGGCAGATCCTGCAAACAAACAACATTAAACAAACTAACAATTTAAAGAATTGGAGTTTTCGCTCTTTAGGGAAAATAGTTATTCTTTTTTGCCAAACATTAACAATGATTTGTGCCTAGAAGCTTAATTATTGTGTGATTCCATGAGTTTTTTTTTCAAAGCTGTGTGTGGCTGACCTTAGCAGGAATTCTGTCTCTAGGTCATCTGGACTAATTCTGTCTCTAGGTCATCTGGACTAGCAGTTAATGGGCCCTCAGAAGATGATGGTTTGTTCCTTGGGACATGGTCAAGAATGTCACATCCAGAGTTCATTCCAGAAAGCTTGTCCTTGACTCTTCTTCGAGGACACAGGAGTCTATGGGCATGATGAAACCCAGGTGTGTTCTCAGAGGACTGCTGTTTTCTTTCCCATCTCCATCCTTTAAGTAGACCTGGCTCAACCTCAGACATACAGTACTGTAGAGCATTTCTTAGGATGGATGGATGGAGAGGGAGGATACTCAGCGGGGAGCGAGAGGTTATAACAAGAGTATAGGTAGGACTATACTTTCAGGGATCATTTCTTTAATTTGTTACTAGAGAATTTCCTCTGATGATGTAGAGTACCCAGAACTACAAGGAGGGGCAATGTATTCTCTCTTGAGTTTGAAGCTAGCTCTAAGTGTTCCTTTGGCAACTGCCTTTTACCATTGAAGATCATTCTTCTCTTCCTTTGGGAGAGTTAGAGGGACAGGATGTGATCTGAGTGTTTTGGTGGAAAAAAAATAAAAAGACTGTATGTGAAAGATGGGCTGGAGTGATAGCACAGCGGTAGGGCGTTTGCCTTGCGTGCAGCCGGCCCGGCCCAGCCGGGTTCGATTCCTCCGCCCCTCTCGGAGAGCCCGACAAGCTACCGAGAGTATCTTTCCCGCACGGCAAAGCCTGGCAAGCTACCCGTGACATATTCAATATGCCAAACACAGTAACAACAAGCCTCACGATGGAGACGTTACTGGACCCGCTCGAGCAAATCAATGAACAATGGGAGGACTGTGAACGTGACCGTATGTGAAAGATAAAACCTGAAAGATAGTACAAGAAGTAGGGTGCTTGCCTTGCACGTGGCCCACCCCAGTCCTATCCCTGGCACTGCCTATGGTCCCGTGAGTCTCCCAGGAGTGATCCCTAAACACAAAGCCAGGAGTAAGCACTGAGCACTGCCAGGTGTGGCCCAAAAACCAATAATAAAAAGAAGAGTACATACATGTGAGGAGCAAGTTAGAATCTCTAATACTTTTTCACTTACACTCTCATGAAATCCAAGAATGCGGTGTCCACTGACCCCCAGAGCTAGGTGATAGGGTTATACGGCATTTACATGTGCCTGTCACTGTAGTCGAGGCTCTTGACTGACACTCAGTATGCCGGGTAGGTGGGACAGTTAATCTGGCACAGAACTGTGATGAATGGCCGCATCGTAGGGACCAGTCATGTTCTCAGTGGCCTTCATTTGTTGGCTCTAGTAGGTTGGAGGAAACACCCCACCATGGTGCCCACCAGTGTCAATATTTGCTTGGTAGCATGAGGATGCCCAAATGGCACCTGTCAGTATTTTTAGTCTGGCATCTTCCCAAAAGTTTACTGCCTCGCAGGCAAATGATGTGACCCTTTCAGCCAAAGTCACCACATCTAGAGCAGTTTCTTCCTGCGCGTGCGCTTGTCTGTCTGTTGTAACATCTCACACTACTCTTTAACCCTTCGTTGTGAAAGCAGTTTGTGTAGTTTCTTTGTCTAAGTGTTTTCCTACTTTATTTTTTCCTCTGTAGTTGTATATTTGTTACGTCCACCCACGAGAGAAAATAAGTTCATGAAGTTCAAGTTCTTTCTATGGTAGCAATTTAACTGAAACTCCTAGAAGGAAACTGGAATGATGCTGCCTTGGTTTATTGAGTACCTAGGTTGAGGTTTTTTTTTTTTTTTGTGGCTCTTTGTGGTCATACCCGGCAATGCTAAGGAGTTACTCCTGACTCTGTATTCAGGAATCACTCCTGGCTGTGTTCTGGGGACCATATGGGATGCCGGGTTTCGAACCCGTGTAGGCAGTGCGCAAGACAAACACCCTACCCGCTGTGCTGTTGCTCCAGCCTCTGAGTACCTGTTATACAGTACTTGTTTAGAGTAATTGTTTTACAATCACAGCTTGCTCTTAATTAGCATTTAACATGTACCCAACTTTATGTACTATAACAATTCATTCATTTTTCTCTATAATGTGTCTATGAAGTGAGTCTTATTCTAAGCTCCATTTCAGAATAGGAAAGAGACTTAAAGACTAAGTGATCTTAGCCTGGACTCAGAGACACTCAGTGCACTGTGTCTGTCTACTTTGTTGGGTTTCCTTAAAAGCCCAGTGTAGAAACATGCTTTTAGACCCACAAACCATTACTTGAAAGCCAGTTCTCATGAAATAGAAAAGGCTATTCATTCTACTCTAAGGGAAATGATTCCTTTAATATGGTACTTAGGTAGTAAGTTACTGTCAACACTAAAAATTAACCACAGATCAGAGAAACAGTTTTGGATGGCACGATAAGTAGTGTGTGTGTGTGTGTGTGTGTGTGTGTGTGTGTGTTGAGGAGGGGGGACTAAGGATAAAAAGAGAAAAACAATGTATAATCAAGTAAATTGTACTTTTTAAAAATGCTTTTTGTTAAAGGTGAGAGTTTTTCACAGGCTGAAAATTATGAATGCATTGTCACATTTTATACAACCCTTTCTGAAGGAGATTGACCTGTCTCTAAAAGAATAACTGTATGACCTGATGGATTGCTCCCACCTTCAACAGCTAAAGAAGCTCTTGGGAAATACATCTGCCACTTAACCAATGCGACCAGAAATGCCAAGAAGTCTCTTGCCAAGGACACGTTCTCTAGGCTGCAGCTAAATTCATTATTTTGTTAGAGTATCAGCCACAAAGCCAAGAGTGGGTATATAGCATGCCACACTTCAAGCAGAATTTAATTCACTTAAGACATTCACTTCTCTGAGACATAAATGAGACAGCTACCGAAGATCATAGCCCGTCAGTAATGCCATAAATAGAAAGTAGAAATGTTAATACAAAGTTCTTCAGTCAATTTCTGGTTACATTTTCATTGAAAGCAGGTTCCAAATTTTGCCACGGTTATCGAATTCCCATGCTGTGCTCTGGTTATATATTATTATGGGGAAGAGGTAAAAAATGTTTGTGAGTGCCTCCATTTTTATTATTTTTAAAAATTTCCTTATGTTCATACTAGAAGATAACAGTAATTTTTTTTTTATCAAAAAAGACACCTCTGGGGCAAGAGCGATAGCACAGCGGGTAGGGCGTTTGCCTTGCACGCGGCCGACCCGGGTTCTATTCCCAACATCCCATATGGCCCCCGGAGCACCGCCAGGGATAATTCCTGGGTGCAGAGCCAGGAGTAACCCCTGTGCAATGCTGGGTGTGAACCAAGAAGAAAAAAAAAAGATACCTCTGAATAACTCAATCTGCTATGGATATCTTTGGGGGTTTTTTTTGGTTGGTTGTTTTTTGGGGGCCACATCCAGTGATATTTAGAGGCTCCTCCTGGCTCAGTGCTCAGGAGATTGCTTATTGCTAGTGCTCAATGGACCATGTGTTGCTGAGGTTTGAACTCCAGGCTACAGAATACAAAGCATTGTTTTGGCTCTCTGAGCTAGCTCCTGGCCTATGGTTATCTTTTTTTATGGGGCCTTACATTTCTAAGGTTACCTATAGACAGTTTATAATTATTACCTTTCTTCTTTTCTCATGGCCATTTGTAGTTAATTCAAAGGTAGGTACAACTGGAATATTAGCCAAAGAGGAACTGAATGCACTGCATTTATACTCAGGATTCTACTCTTCCCAGTCAGAAATGGCACATGGGGTCTGGGATGTAAGTCAGGTGGTAGTGCACGCGCTTTTCCTGGGCGAGACCCTGGGTTTGATGCCTGAAACAAAAAAGGTCCCAAGGCCCCCACCAGCACTCCTGGGTGTGACCTTGGTGGCCCCAAGCACTGCCTGAATGAGCACCATCAGAAGTGGCCCCTCACTCCTAGAACTGCTGGGAGTGGCCAAATAAAAAAGTGTCGCTTAAACGCACCCAGGACGGGCTTAACTGCCAATAATAAGAAAATGTATTAAAATAAACCTTTTTATTTAACACTCCCTGTTCCCAAGCGCGATACAGTTGAAAGAATATCTGAGAAACAGAGCAGGGAGCATCTTTATTTTTGACTCCTAAACAGAGATAAAGGCAGCACCCAGGTACGTGAGCATCAGGATTGATTCCCTGGGAAGTATTGATGATTATTTCCTAGAGGCTCCTGACTTAGACCTTTGGTTTTGCATCTTGTCTCTGCTTCACCTGAGTTGTGTGACCTGGACCACATTACTTCATCTTGGTAAATCTTAGTGTCATAAATGTGGGGGGAAATGGCGAAATAAAATAAATGGCCCTGAAAGATAGTGCAGTGGTTTAGAATGCCTGTCTAAGTTGTCTTCCATGTATTTTATAGTTAGAGGTCTCAGTTCCTGCTCTTTAATCCATTTTAAATTTATGTTTAAAATAAAGGTAGAGTTAGTTACAATCTTTTTCACATAACTATCATTTTTTTTCTGGCACCCTTTATCTTCATATTGTTGTCCTTCATTTTTTCTTTGTATCACCCATTCTTGGTCATTAACTGTGTTGATATATTGTAAATTATATTATAAATTTATTTTTTGACTCTGAATTCTATTTCATCAATCCATGTATCTATTTTTATTGCAGTACACTATTTTAGTGATTGTCACTTTGTAATATAGTTTAAAGTTGGGTAACATGATTCCTCCATTTTTTCTCCCTTTTCTTGAGATTTCTTTTGTTACTTGGGATGTTTTGTGCTTCCATATAAATTTTAAGGATTTTTTTTTGGTCCTATTTTCTTAAGAAATATCATTGGGATTTTAGTGGGTATTGCATCATTCCTATTTTGCTTCTGATAAGACAGTCACTTAACTATATTTAATTTTCCTCATCAATGAACATGGAATATATTTTTATTTTTTAATGTCTTGGTGTGTGTGTGTGTGGGGGGGGTGATGCCAGACCTTAAATCCAGGAGCTGACACATACAAGTGTTTTACTGCAGAACTACATATCAGCCCTTTGTATCAGCCCTTGGTATCTTTTAACAATGTCCTATAGTTATTGTTGTAAGGTCTTTCCTTATTCATAGGCATTTGCATCTTTTGATGATTTTTTTTCTAAACCTAATCTACGTGAGCATACAGAACTATCTAAAAAGACAGCCATGGCAGTGGAGTTTTCTATTACATGCATTTTAATGAAAAATGCAGATGGAAAAAAGAGACATAGGAGACACTCTGGGATCTGAGTGGAGCAATTTTTTAGAAAAATGCTCTTTGCTTTTAAGGAATCTCTTACCTGAGGAGACTAGAGGAGCATGTGTGAGAAGCGGTAGTAGTGATCACTTCACTCTTTTCCTAGACTTCCCAAGCCTTTTGCTTCAATTCTTTGACCTCCACGGAAAACGGAAGGTCTGACCTAGAATATGTTTTCTATAGTTCTCTAAATGCTGATCCGCCATTATTAAAGAGATTTGGTCTCAGAGCGTCAGATTACTGCATTTCTTGTAAACCAGCTTAATGGCAACAAAATCCAATTCATCTCTGGACACTGAGGGGGATTTTTGGTTTTTGTTTTTTTAAGCTGAG